TGTGTAGTCGAGTAAACCAGTGTTTCGCCAGATGCTCTCTATCTCGTTGTGTAACATAGGCTCAATGCAAAACCTGTACGTGACGGTGACTAGCAAGTTGATTATATTGTGACAAGAGGCCCTGAGCCGCCCTTGTGAATCGAGTGCATGTTCAGCCAAATGCTATGCATATAGCCTCGTTGCGCCCATCTATGGCACGCCATATGTACTACACGACACTGATGTCACACTGATGTGCAACAAAAAATGTTAAACTGGGTTTTTTAATAGGAAACAAGCGCGCATTAGCCTGATTCGGATAGCCAAATTTTGTAAACGAGCACTGCGAAGGAAATAGTCTAGGCTTACTGCGCTAGTGAACCCGTCGTGCAATGGCCACAACTGCTCAATGGAGCCGATTGCAGAGTTTCTGGCGATACCAATAGTTGGATCCTGTTCATTGCGTAGAATCGTTGCTAAGCGCTTTTCGTAAGTTCGCGCGGATATCCGGGCTGCCAATTGTCCAGAGGAGAAGACCGGATACTAAGAGAGGCGATGCGCAAAAAGAAGCATGTGATCCTGACCCGCCGAGCGTGGATGTTGCACCGCAGTTTCCGCGGCAAGCGCAGGCAACGCGACCGCGGGAACGTGCTACATAGTACGGGTCGCTGGCAGCTTTGGTGCATCCGGGCGACCAAATCCCATAGGCCCAGCGCAACGATCATGGCTCCGCAGCAAACAGTGTTCAATTGAGGGGGGCAACAATTTTTTTTTGGGGGGTGCACGGCTTTGTGTGGAGGAGGGAGTATTGGGGCCATTTGGGGGGGGGGCATTTCTGGGGAGATTGGGATTTTGGGGTGCATTCCTCTGGGGGGAAATTTTGGGTTGGGGGAAAGTTGGGGGGTGCAATTGAGGCCCCCTGTGGGGGGTTTCATTGTCTGTGGGGGCTCCATTTCTAGGAAGAAGGGCGAAATGTAATCAATTACTCTTTCCCAAGTGCAATACATTTGTCCTTGAACTTGATAATAATAATTGTGATTTTTATTTAGAGCCAATGTGCCGTTGTCATCGTTTGTTAGGTATGGAACTGTGATTACAGAAATATCACTATTACGTGCAGAGTACGGGCATTTCACTTCGAGTAATGTATTATTGAAAGGAATTAATCTATCAGGTCGGATTTGTCACGTAAAGACTTTCCTTTTATGTGCTCTGCTTCGGCTGAGCACGAAAGCAGTCCGGCATGCTAATCGTTTTTGATTTCTCCTTCGTAGCTCATGCTTCCGCGATCCTTTGTTTCTACACATCTCTCTTCTCTCTGCCATCGCCCGTCCTTACTTACTCTTACCTCCTCTTCTCCTCTCTCTCTCCTCGTCCAAATTACTCTCCTTCATATTTTAATCCATGATCGAGGAATTTTGATTTTACCTGACTCTTAGATGTAAGATTCGCTAATAATTCAGCAATATTACGTCTTTCCGTCACCTTGCATAATACGAGTCTCGCTCCAAAATTGCGACTGCTGTCATACCGTTTGAACCGCGTTCAGTCTCTCTCCCAGGTTCTTCGCTGCTTCACCTCTCTCCCTCCTCTCTTCTCCTGCCTTTCTCTCGTTATGTTTGCCTCTCCTCTTACTCTCACCCATTCTAGCTATCACTAATTTTAGACAGCTGAAAGTAAAGAAATAAAAAGAAGCCATTGAGCTTTAACAATCAGTCTATCCCTACAAAAGTCAAGATTTATCTACCCTGATCGCCTCTCGAATAACGCGGAAACTGTATAAATGCAGAGAAATTGGGTTTCAACTATTAGCGTACATCATGCTGGAATCCGTATTCGCACGGCAGTAAGCTCAATTTCTACTGCACCGAAGTCCTCGGCAGCGTTTCTACTAAAGCGTGCGCCGAGTTATAAGTTTTCTCCGACTAAGTTGGCTGCCAGTTCGCTTCTTAGCGAACGAGGCATAAGGCGAGGAAGCTTAGCGATACAGACAACTCCTGTTCACGAACGCCCTTCTCACGCTATGCCTCCGCTAAAATCAAGCGGAGGCGACAGCATGAACAGTCAGTACTTGGCAGATAACTTAGCAGACATGTGTTTGGGCAGTTAGCTAGGTGTACGTTCATTCATTTCATAAAAAGCAAACAGCCGCTGTGACAGAGAATCAGCTTCTCAACACATAACACGCTATTTGACAGAGAGGTGCCAACACCACATAAACACATACACACAACAAGACAGATAGCAGGCCGAGGCACACACACCACACACACACACACAACAGCCACCCCACAACAGACACACACCACACACACCATACACAGTACACATACAGCACGCTACAACACACACACAGTCACACACACACAACACACACAACACAGGGCACAATGCCACTGTCACTGGGTGTGTGTGTGTGTGTGTGTGTTGTGGTGTGTGGTCTGTGTTTCATGTGAATGTGTCTCATCGCTCTCTTCTCTCTATCTCTCTCCTCTGTGTGTGTGTGTGCATGTGTGTGTGTGTGTGTGTGTGTGTGGTGTGTGTGTGTGTGTGCGCCGGCGCGCAAGATGTAACAGTTCTACCAGCGCAATGCACGCACACACGCATGCACGCAACATGCACGCACGTATACGTGCACTAACGCCGCACGCACACACATACGCACATACACACACGACACGCCACACCACAACACAACACACACACACACACACACATGGCAGCACGCACCGCGCACACGGCGCACTACACAAACACATGCACGCCACAACACGCGCACACACGATAAGTATACACACACACACACACCACACACACGCACACACCCACACACACTCATACAGCACTCATACACACTGCTCACGCACACTCACAGCACACACACACACACACACAGCACACACACACACGCAACACACCAACACACCACACGCGCGCGCGCGCAACACACACACACACATAGCGCGCGCAACACACACATCACGTACACACGACACGCGCGCGCGCCGCGCCGCAGCACGACACACACACACAGCACAGTCCCACACACAGCCACACACACACCACGTGGGACGGGCACACACGGTCACACACGCACACACGCAAACACACAGGACACGCGACTGTCAACGTCACAGTGCACGCACACACAGGCAACACACACACACACACACACACATACACAATCACACACATACACACCGCGAGATCATACACAAACTCTTACAGATTACATAACTCGATTTACAGTTTTACATTGCAATCTACTGTTGTATGTTGTATCACAATTCTCATCCCGTCTACCCACTCGTCTGCGCAGTTGTGGAATCGACGAGTAGAACACTCCTAATGGAAGACGTTCAGCCTTTCGTTTTCAGGAAAACGTACTAAATCATAATATACTGCGCAAGACACGCGTAGGACCGTACGTAAATCGGTGGCATATACAATCATTGCAATGCCATGGTAATAGTTATACACAACCTTTCGTCATTACTCCAAGTGCAGAGTTTAAAACAAATATCTTTTTCCCAAAATAACACGCACGATAAACAGCCAAGACTATTTTGATTACAAAAGCTCTTATTTTATGGTAGATTAGGTGGCGGAATTTTGTATTTTATGGGTTTTATGTACACCATAGAGCGCTTCCGCTACAATTTAGCGGGACGTGCAGGAGCTTCCCCGCTAAAAGTTGTCCGCCTAAAGTGGGCGGTAAAGCGAGCGACTTTAGCCCGGAGGTTCGTGAACGCTGTCCTCCGCTATTTAGCGATAAACAACTCGGTGAGTTAGGCGGAGGGATAGCGAGAATATAGCGAACGGAGGCTTCTGTGAAACCGCGCCCCAGAAATTTTATATATTACTCTTAGCTATTAGTAGCAGCCTTGACATTTATGTTCAGGTTTCAAAGATTGAGGATTAGGGGAACATGTCCCTAAAAATTGGCGCGCACG